AAGAAGGAAGCCTAGGTGGATAGACAGAAGGAAGGAGGGAAGGACAGAGAGAGAGAGAAGGAAGGTAGAGGGACGAACGGAAAGAAGATGGAAAAATACATGGATGAGAAGATGGATGAATGGACAGCAGGATGAACGAGTGGGAAAGAAGAAAAATGGATGGAGGGACAGAAGGCTGGCTGGCTGGAAATGACGGACTGGCGATACAGGGGGATGGATGGAGGGAGGCAGGGATCAAAGGATGGATAAAGGAGGAAAGAACGGAACGGCAAAAAGAGGAAGGGGTGGGAGAGAAAGGGAGGAAAGGAAGGTAGGAGGAAAGAACAGATGGGGGGTTCTGGAAGACCGAGAGAGGACACTAAGATAGAAGTGGGTGGGGGAAGCAAGAAAGAGGGAAGACAGGAGAAGTGAGGGCGGGGCTTTCTCTAGCAGGAATCTGCCTTGCCTTCCCCATAGCCTCTCCCTGCAGGGGGCCATGTTGAACGAACGGCAGGTCCTCCTCTGCAGCACCCAGAGCCCGAGGTCACCCCCAAGGGGGCTGTGCTCCCGAGGGCGCTCAGCCCGCTCAGCCGGGATGGATGCCGCAGGGATGGAGGCCGCCGCGCTGGATCCAGCACCGGCTTCGGTGGCGACTGCCTTGCCCGTAGAAGGCTGCAGGCTTCCCGCTTCACACGAAAGGGCTTTCAGAGCGTGCCACTCAGCGAGCCCCAGGATGGTTCCCACGCCCCACAACCCAGCGACGTTTCTGATGACGCTCCCTCCAGCGCGGATTTTGCTGCAAAACAAGCAGCTCTTGCCCTGGGCACGCTGGCCGGGAGCGGGAGAGGCAGCTGTCGACGTTTCTGCCCCAACTCCAGCGACGGGCTGTGGCTCGGGGCAGGCTGCACACCACTGTCGGCATCTTGGCCTTATCTCTGTTTTACACGTACTGTTACTGGATTATTGTAAAATCAGGGGTTGGGAAACCTAGTTTCACTTTTCTAACCCAGAGTAAGATAAATATCTAGCGATTTAAATTAAACGCTTTCCCGCGGACCGTGGATCCTGCCTTGCACAGTCCCAGTGGCACATGGAGCCACTGGCAGCGGGGCCCGTGTGCGGGCAGGTACCGGTGCCGGGCTCTGTGCTGACTGCTTTCCTCCATCTCCCACCATCAGGGCCGCCCTGGGAGGTAGGGGCTTTTCTCCTACCCATTTCACAGATGAGGGAAGGGAGGCTCAAGGAGATGGAGCGGCTTGCCCAGGTCACACAGCCAGGAGATGATGGAGCCGGGACTCAAAGGCGGGCTGAACTGATTAGAAGGCACTTGCCCGAAACTCAGGACCCACATCTGAATCTCGGGAGACACCGCTGAACTCAGTGCCCACCTCGTCTCTGACTAGTCGGTACTGCTCCTGGGTTCTCCGTGAGCACTTCCCCCCAGGGGGTCTGGGGACCACTGATGGCAGCAGATACCTGCTTCCACCCTTGTGCCAGCTTTGGTCTGTTCTCCACCCAGCAGCCAGAGGGAGCCACCTAACCATAAGTCAGATCACCTGCCTCCCCTGCTCAAAACCTTCCGATGGCTTCTTGTCATCCTTAGAATATTATCTGAAGCCTTATGTCACTTGCCCCCTGCCCCAAGGCTCTCCACAATCCTTCTTGCTCCTCCTGCTTCTGTTGCACTGGCCTCCTCCCTGTTCCTGGAACCGGCTAACTTTGACCATGCCTCAGGGCCTTTGCACTGCTGTTCTCTCTGTCTGGCACATTCTTCACCTAGATACCCACACGGCCTGCCCCCTTACCTCCTTCAGGTCTCTGCTCAGATGTCAGGGAAGCCTTACCTAGTTATACTGAGACAAATAACCACCCCTGTGTCCGTCCCCTCCCTGACTGCTGGTCTCCCTTCGGAGCACTTTATCTGATGTTATACATCCAGTTGCTTATGGTCTGCCTCCCCAGCTGGAGGATCAATGCCTTGAGGGCGGGAGTCTTGCTGTGTGTTGTCTGCCACCGAACCCGCAGCACTGGAGGAGGGCCTGGCAAATGGGACACACTCCATCCATCGCTCCTGGGGGCGGTACCCACCCCCTAACTTACAGATGGCACTGCTGGCTCAGAGCAGAAAGGGATCCAACTTTGCTCCCTAAAGCCGATCAGGCACGCAGGAGCCGGCGGGCCTCGTGCTGGAGCCCCGCAGGCCGCTGCTCCCTGGGGAGCCTCGGGAGGCTGCCCTTTAGATTCCTAGTGGGGCTCCCTGCTCCGGCAAGCAATGTGTTTTCACTTGTGCAAGTCTTAACTTCTCCATTGCGTAACATGGTTTCAATTCTGCCGAGGTGCCCCGGGGGCTTCTGGCACTAGGGACATTTTGGAAAACATTTAGAGAATAAAAACAAACTGGTTTCCCTCTGAGTAGGTCCAGCTGCTAATTAGGATCCTTCTGGAGGAGGTGCGACTTGGACTCCGGGGCCAGCGAGGAACCACAGAGGGGGTGAGGTTTCGAAGACAGCGGCCTGAAACACACGCGGGGCCCGCGGAGCACCCGGCTCTGAGCCTCAGGGTCAACCAAGAGGTACAAAGCGCCAGCCACGGGTCTGGGTGTTTACTGCAGAGCAGCTCCAGCTCAGGCATCTGCCGGTCGATGTAGCATCTTCCCTGGCGTGTGGCAGACATCTCAGACCCCGTGTGCCCCCCGCAGACAGGTGGCCTCCCCCACTGCATTCCCGAGTCTTCTCTGTTTGGCTGTCTCAGAGAATGGCGCCACCCGTCAGGCCAAGCCCAGGAGCCCCCTTGACTCCTCTCCCCCTCACTTCACGTCCAACCCATCAGCGACGCCTCTGGGTTCACAGCCATCCTGAAGCCACCTCTTCTCATCACCTGGACCCAACTCATGTTTCCTCCTTTGCTTGGATGACAGGAGCAGTCCCCTGCTGTTCTCCCTGAACCCCGCCCCCCGTCCACTCCTATTGCCCCTGCTCCACGCAGGAGCCAGAGCGGTCTTTATAAAACATAAACAGATCACATGGCTGTTCCTCACCCTGTGGTTGCCCACGGCACTTAGAATAAACTCTGCTGTCTGTGACTCGTGTCTGGCCCACACCTCCCCCTCAGGACTCATCTACCCAAGTCCCCCCGTGCTTTCACTCACTCACTCTGGTCCCTGTGGCCTTCACACTAATTCTTACCTCAGGGCCTTTGCACCTGCTGACCCCACCTCCCTAGATCTCCACCTGGCTAGCTCCTGTCATCATTCAGGCCTTGGCTCAAGTGTCACCTCCTGGAGACGCCTTCCCTGATCCCCCATCCTACCCCCTCTCCCCCATCACTCACTGTCACACCTCATTGTTTTATTTTCTTCACATCCTTTCTCGTTCATGGATTTGTGTGGTTGCTTACTGGGGATTTAGGGTGAATCAGACAGTTTTGGTCCCTGTTTTCATAGAACTAACATTCTAAGAAGGAGACAGAGAAAAACTAAATCTATGCTGGACTTTTCAACTACAAGGGCCAATAATTTCCCCCCGAGTCTTGACTACATTAGGCTCCATAAATACTCGCTGAATTCAATTGCCATGTTTGTTTTGGTTTGCTTGTAAGTTCTCTCCCTCCGGCTTTCTCCCCCGTCTCTTTTTCCCTAAGATATGAGAGGTCATTGAAAAGGAAGGCTGCATATTGCTTTTGGCTGAAGAGACAGTCCCGGGCCTGATGCTGGTGGTGTTCACCGCTCCAGAGCTCTCTTCTGTCATCGACAAGTTTCTCTGCACAGATCCTCTCTTTGAAACAGACCTTGGGCAGAGAACACCCACTGCATTTCCCAGATAGGAGGACTGAGGCCCAAATGGTTTGCCCACCTGGCCAGAACCCAAGACTGATCATTCCAGCAAGGATTTCCTCCTCTAAAACTCTCAGACTACAGACCAGAAAGGAAAACCTGTCTCCTTTGCTGATGACAAATATTAGTAATGCTCTGGGCTAGCCAGGACACATTTAGAATTTATAGTCTTCATATTTCTACTTCACAGTCTAGTCCCCGGCAATTTCCTAGATTCTGAGAAAAAATATTCCTACTGGGAAAAATAGAATTGTTCTTTCATGTACAGTTTTATTGTAGGTTACCTTTATTTTTCAATCTGTTAAACCAATAATGTGAATGTAATTTACAAAGCCAGAAGATGCCCACATTAATCCTCTTATCAGCCAAAAACCCTTCACCTTGGAGAAAGCTGCTCTTTCATGAGAGGTAAGAAATGCATTGTATTTCTCTTTTTGCTTTGGCTACCAGGGAGCTCAGAGATTAACTCTGAACTTAACTGCAGTAGTTAACCTGAGCTGAATTTTTTTTGGTATTGCGCCTTACCCTTCTCCATTATACCACTCTCTATTCCTTAGCCTTTGCTTTAATAGTTCTATTTTAAATATGTTTTCCATTTGAAATTCTTCCCAAATTTTTCTGACACAGGCTGGGCATAAACAAACGAATTAAATTTATTTCTGAAGCTGCTTTCCCCCTTTTCTCCATCTCCCTTGCCGCTGGCTTAGGGGCACAGGAGCAGATACTTTAAATAAGCGTAGTCCCTCTGCTGGCTCTCTCTCTTTGTAAAACATGTTTGCAGGAGAATGTAAATTGTTTTTAAAAGCTTCCATCCTGGCCCACCGCTAATTATTACTGACCCAGGAGGATCTGTACTAATTTGCCTTAATAAACTTATTAAACAGCAAATTTCAGGAGGAAGAAACGACACAGCCTTTATTGGATTAGTGAAGCTGCCAGTGGACATCGGCACTCGAGCAGAGCAAAGCCTGGTAACCACACGGGGAAGCCGGGGACGTGATCTGGTCGTGTGTTTCCAATCAACCGTCCCTGGCCACTGTTTTGTGCCTTCTTGGAGGTCGCTAGTGAAAGTTTCCAGCCTCCAAAGGAAGAAGGGCAAAAAGAAAAAAGAAAAGGCAGCATCTTTCACCCCAAACCAGGCGCCGGTGACCAAAGCCGCGAATATGAAGCGAAACAAGCAATTGCAAACCTCCAGGTCATTGAAGAACAGGTGCGTGTCCGCGAGATTGAAGATCATTTCCTCCATCATCAGGCCGATGCGCACGGACGTCGTGGTGTCCTGGCAGGAAGAAGGGGGACAGGCTCATGCATGGGCAGCCACTGTCAGCTCGCCGCCCCTCCCGCCCGTCCCCCTCGGAAAGGCGGTTTTGGTCTTTCCGCATCCGCACGGCTCGCACCCCGCCCAGCACACGTCTCCGTGTGGGTCAGCGTGGCCACGCTGCTCAGCCTCAGGTTTCACTTCCAGCTCTCCGTCATTTCCATCTACCCTCTTCAGTATCCAAACCTCCCCCTAAATGCCCCTGGAATTGCACCCGTGTTCAGTGTTGCAAGGACCAGAAATGGCTGTAATAAAGGGGGGCCTCTGGGAAAGCGTGCTTTCGGGGAGGCCTGAGGATTCCAGAGAAAGCAGCATAAACACTATCAACTACTGGGAGAGGGGGATGTTGGTTCCCTCCTTACACAATCTCTCCGGGCACGCTGCCTTACTTCTGGTATTTCAAAAATCAATCTTCTCCAACAAGGGGGGTTAACTATAAAAACAAACACACGAAGAATACCCACGAGGGTACATCCATACCAGGGAAAACTAGGCAGCCATTAATAAAGTGTAAGTCATGCGAGAGCTACTGATAGGAAACTACTCTGGAGAAATACAGTATTAACTAGCAAAGCACGCTGCATCACAGCAGAACCTGTAAAGCACAACTGTGCCAGGAAAGGGGCTCTTCCCTCTCTTTTCTATATACGTGGTGTGACAGACGGCATTTCTCTTTGCCCATACTGAGGGCCCTTCCTGAAGAGCTTCTCTCAGGAGGATGATACATACCAGGGGTTGCCAAACTACAGCCCATGGGCAAAATCTGGCCAGCTGCCTGTTTTTGTGTGGTTCACAAGCTAGGAATGATTTTTACTTTTTTTTTTTTTTTTTTGCTGAGGAAGATTGGCCCTGAGCTAACATCTGTGCCAATCTTCCTCTATTTTGTATGTGGGAAGCCACCACAGCATGACTTGATGAGTGGTGTGTAGGTCTGTGCCTGGGATCCGAACCCACGAACCTGGGGCCACCAAAGCGGAGGGCAAGATCTTAACTACCATGCCACCGAGCAGGCCCCAGTTTTTTACATTTTCTGATAGGTTATTGTCTACACCTGCTTTTGTGCTTTGAAGGCAGAGGTGAGTAGTCGTGACAGAGACCATATGTCCCCCAAAGACTAAAATATTTACTGTCTAGCCCTTTGCAGAAGGTCTGCCAGCCCCAGGCGTACACCCTCCCTGTGGAACTCAGACGTGACCACCTGACGTGCTTTGGCAGAGGATATCTGAGCAGAAGTTTATGTTTGTTTAAGAACCTGTGCGTGGTTCTTCCCACTTCACAAGACTAAATGTTCAGGATAAAAGCTGTTTGGTATGGGTTCCAGAGAACAGATGAGGTGGGTCAGAGCAGCAGACCATGACGGACATGTACCGTCCATGAGAAGTCGACAGGATTCTGGGGATGTTTGTTACTGCAGCCTCCCCTCAGCTATCCTGACTGATACACGTGGGAATTATGTAGCACAATGGTTCTCAACCCTGGGTGCACCCCGTGATGATTTGGGGAGCATTTAAAAATCCTCAGGCTCAGGCTGCATGGAGACTAATAAGCTCAGAATTGCTAAGGGTGGGGGTCCAGGCATCAGGAATGTTTAAAGCTCCCTGTGATTTCAATGTGCAGCCAAGCTTAAGACCCACTGGTCTAAAGGGATATATAACACAATAAGATTCCTGGTTAAAACATTTATTCAGTGCTTTCGCCGTACCACTTTATAAATATTAACTCATTTAATTCCCACAGAGCACTTTGGGGTGAGCACTATTGTTTTCCCAACTTACAGATGAGGAAGCTGAGGCTCGAGAAGCTTAGGTAGCTGGCTCAGGGACACCAGCTAGTGAGCACTGGGATTTGAACCCAAGTCATCTGGTTCCAGAGCAGCACTTCCTCTGGGGGGACTCGGAGGGGCCGGGGTTGGGAGAAGGGTGAAGCGGACCTTGAAAGGTCACTCCACACACTTCCTTTCCTGTTTGAATTTTTTAACCGGGAGGCTGAATTACTTTTCCTATAAAAATAAACAATTAACAACACAAACCCTTCTAGACCCTTAAAAAAAAAAAAAGAAGGAGCTGGTGATCTCAGCTTCTCACTCACGACTGCGAAGAATGAAGCCCAGGAACGCAGCCACGAGGAGAAACACCTCGTCAGGGCCCCGACTGCCAAAGCTTAGCACCGCCGGGGCCTGGCTGGGAGGCGGCAGGGGAGAGAATTCAGCGAACAGTGAAGAGAAAATGAGGAAAACAAAACTTTTCAGGGCCAAAAAGGGAGTCATTGTGTGACCTGGGAAAAGGTTTTGGGGGTGTTCCGATGCACTACTCAATACCCAGACCATTTCACCTCTGCCTGCTTGCACATCCCCTCCTGGCGAGGCTGTCTGAGCACCTCAGCCTCGATGGCCAGCCCTCGACGTGCTTGATGAGGAGCAAGCAGCTGCCATCCAGACTCAGCCCCCGAAAGGATTTATCTAGAAAAAGGTCCTCTCCCAGGCCAGCACATAAAACAGGAATAGCAATTACTGTATCCAGACTGGCTTATCTGTGAAAAGTCTATCTAGTTATAAGAAGGCAAACGCTCTATACTGATAAAGCGGAAATGATTTATTGATACTGGGAGGGTGTGAAGAGAAGTTTGCGTGTGGGATGGAGGCCAGGGCGAGAAAAGAGAGCTAAATCCTTATCCTCTAGCTTGGGAAGCCAGAGATCATGCCTAGAACAGAAAAAAATCAGGCAGCAGCAACATAAGCAGGTTACTTCGAAATCTGGAGGTTAGGACCAAAAGAATCACGGCGAGTTGGAACCTGTTGCCTCTGAGCAGAAAGCAAGCGTGGGAGGGGCTCACTGGGGACGGCCGTTTTTCGCAATGCTTTCCTGTGGAGAGCTACATGAGTTTTAAACTATGTGCATATATTTCTTGAATTAAAAAATTTAAAATTAAAGGGAACATACTTAGTAATTCCACTTCTTATTAGGTACCCTAGAGAAAAATCTGTGCGTGTGAACAAGGGGTGTGTAAAAAGATGTTCATTACAGAATTGTTGGTGACTAGCAAAAGATTAGAAACGATTTAGCTGTCCAGCTAAAGGAGACTAGAGAAATAAAAAGTATAATATAAAACATTAATATAATACAATCTATTTTGTACCCCATCTATCACAACCTGCCCCACAAGTAAATCTACCCTCTCAGGAACTACAACTTGCATAATCCATTACATACCTGATTCACCCCATCCTGAGCTGACCCCAAACACGTCCGTCACAGAAATGACCCACCGCCTATAAGATCTACTGGCTCTGTGGCCTCAGGCAAGTTATTATTTCAAAGCCTCGGCTTCTCCTTCTGTAAAATGGGTCCAACTTGGACTTTGTCCAGAGGATTAAATGAGATACTACAGTCATGTGTCACTTAACGATGGGGACACATCCTGAGAATGCATCGTTAGGCAATTTTGTCATTGTGCAAACATCACAGAGTGTACTTACGCAAACCTACATGGGATAGCCTACTGCACACCTAGGCTGTGTGGTCCTCATCTTATGGGACCACCGTCACATACGCGGCCCGCTGTGGGACCACCGTCACATACGCGGCCCGCTGTCAACCGAAACATTGTTATGCGGTGCATGACTACATATTCACACGATGAAAAATTAAGTTCAGTTGAAAGAAATGAACCAGATCTCCATGTATTAACATGAACACATCAAAAAAAATATTGAGTGAAAGTAAGTTTTCTGAAAGTTACATACTGCATGTAATTAGCATTTATTAGAAACACGTAAAATGTTATTACATATTTTCCATGGGCATTTCTAGATTATAAATACCTGGGAGGACATACCCAGAGTCAGAACACTAATTACTTCTGGAAGGCAGAGAGGAGAGACTGGAATTAGAGATGATGATCAAAGTGAACTTTAGCATCGTCTAGAGTATTCTAAAAACTTTTTAAAGGAGAAGAGATTCAAACATTTATTGTGTAATTAAAAATTAAAACAAAATTTTAAAGACACTTGAACGTTTCTGGGGAGAATCTTTAAAATACCCGTCAACTCCCTGAGGTTTCTCGTTACGTCAGGTTTTCCTAAAATCTGTGTGCATGTTGCCTTTTGGAGTGTTTTAAACTGTGCAGGTGGGACCTCCTTCCAAGGAACTTGATAAAAACTAGTTGTGCAGGGGCAGAAAAGTCTGGAATAGCCTAAGAGAAGCACAAACTGTTAGCGGGGCCAGACCCCTTTATCCAAGTAGAAAATGCTTTTCCAGGGTTGCAAAGACTGAGAAACTAAGAAAAAAGAAAAATGGGTGGAGACTGAGCGTTAATTAATGTGAAATACATCTGGAGCGAGGGCAGGAAGGAAGCCATTGGTTCCATCTCCCGCTGCCTGCGGAACGGGTCCCTAATACACTCCGTCAACACACCGCCCTGGCCTGTTGGCTTCGGTCACTCTGGGCAGCTTTGAGGGGAGGACCCCCTCTCTGACCTCGCATGGCTCCTGGTCAAATAAAGCCTAAAACGTGGGCCCTTCACACAATGGTCTTCAGCCACTGACCCACTCGTATCCACTCGGATGGCTCGACCACCTAACCCTGCAGTGATGACTAAGTGAGACAGCACTCGTGTCAGCACCTAGCCGGGTATGCAGCAGGCACTCCACGAGCGTTGGTTATCGTCCAAACCCCCCAGTCCACTTCCTCGCACCCTTAAGCAAAGAGCTTGTTTCTGTAAACCCAGCAGAAGCACCCCAAATCAAATGGTACTTTGCGACAGCACCATCTCACATGAAAACTATTTTCTTAATCATTACATACTCTTTGGATTAAAAAGAAAATCAGTGGTTAATTTCCTAAACAAGCAACAGCAGAAACAGATTGCTTTTAAAAAATGATCAATTTAAACGAGAAGGGAGAACTGAGAAAAGGGGGTTTTTCCACAACAGGCTTCAATTTGTAAGCCAACCGTCGAAGGGC